GGTCCTGGGATTGAGCCCCCGCATCGGGCTCTGCACTCAGCAGGGAGTCTGTTTCTCCCTCTGCCCCTTCCCCCACTCATGCTCTCTCTCTCTCTCTCAAATAAATAAATAAAATCTTTAAAAAATTAAAAAAAAATAGAGACACAGAAGACGCCGCAGGTCGTATGAATAAATGAGGGAGTCAGTATAAGGGACTGTTGAGTAGTACTACCACTCCAATTACTACTTCTACAACAATCATTCCTAACAACAACAGCAAAAGTAGCTTATGGGTATGTTTACGAGTACTGACAGAAAGAATTCAGTTTCAGTGCACAACATTAGAAAAGCAATGCTTCTAATTTAACTTTGCGACTTCAGTTAATTATTCTCTGGCAAGTATCCCCTTTTGAACAGGATCAGCCACATAACTGGTAGGGCCCAGTGCAAAATGAAAACGTGGGGACCCTTCTTCAAAATGTATTAAGAATTTCAAGACCATTACAGCAGAGCATTAAACCAAGCAGGGAGCCCTATGAGACTCACAAGTCAGAAGTCCGTCAAGCTGGCTCTGCTTTGGAGCCCTTAAGAGATATGTAAAAGTCTTAGTATAATGTTGAACTGTAGGGACAATGAAGGAAACATGTATCGGTTCTCTTATTCTTCTCATTTCATGAAAACTTCTGTTTTTTGTTACCATTTGTAAATCTCATATCTTCAAGAGTATCATCAGAATCAGAGATGTGTCACAATTCCTGGACAGCAAATCTAGGGTTGTTTTCATTGATTCTTGAGATAATGTACTTCCTGTGGAGTTTTGATTCATCTCGCGGACCCTATTGAATACTATATAAAACAAGAACTAGAAAAATGGCTCAATCGCCATTCCTCCCGCTCTCAAGCCCTTCAGTCAAGAAAGGGTACAATGAACATGTTAAAATTAAACTAAGCCATGACAAGGAGAAAGGCTCCCTCTGTTAGCCCACTTATGAAGAGCCAACAACGTCTTTGAAGGCACAGCCTCACACAAGACTGGGCTAAGTGATTCTCACAACAGAGCTGCTAGACCTTTTCAGGCTGGAGAGATCCAGTCTGTCCCCAGCCATACTCTACCCATCGCGATTCCCACCCCCAAGCCGGGAGACAAAGAAAAGAATGCTAAGAAAACCATCAAACAGCTAAGATGAAATGTAGAATGCAATGGTATTCAAGTGCACTGTGATCAATGTTTAGATAAGAGCCACGTTTTGTTTTTCACAAATACAGTAATACAGAGAAGAGGGGTTTTCGCTAGGCTGATGTCTTGGGGTTTGCTTTCTATCTTCCATGGTCCTTTTTTCCTGACAAAGGACTTACCATATTTACCCAATTCTAAGATGTATCTTTTCTTCCCTTTTTCACATCTCTGAAATCAGAATGTGCCTTATAATCAGGTGCATGTTACAGTCACTCTCAGCCATGAGGCAGCTGAAAGGGAGCTGTCATCACCTGCATATACTCAAATCTGCGTGTGGCTATTGTAATATCATGACATGTGAGAAACATATATGTCTAGAGAAGCCAAAAGGAGCTTTCAGTAAGAGAAGCCAAAAAGAGCTTTCAGTAAGTACAAAATCACAATTCTATTGATATGAAAGCATTGCATCATAGCTTAGAGGCGTTTGTCTTCTTTCTTAGTGTTACATAAACATAATTACAGAAAAAAGCATCTCAAATGTGATGAAACACTTCATATCTTTAATAGAAGGCAATATATGCCCCTGACATTTTTGAAGAGTTTGAAAAGCTTCACATGCACCCACTTAGAAGCCATCCAAAGTTCATACTGGGAAAATTCCTAGGTACTAATAAAAGACTATTTTTTAAATATCCTTAATGGAATATTGAGGGTTTTTTGTTTTGTTTTGTTTTTTTACTTTTTCCTGCTGTATTACAACTAGAAATTCCCCAACCTGAAAACCTAAACACTAGTAAGAGGTCCCGGCTACATCCAGTATATTGGTATTCTGATGTCAAACAATTTTTTCTGTGGTTATGCTTTTAGAGGAAATTCAAGAGTTCCAACATAAGGTCCTAGAGCAACACTACCATATATAACACATATGATGCAAGCTACAGATGTAATTTTAATTTTCATGTGCAACACTTTAAAAAGTTTAAAAAGTAGGTAAAATTAATTTTAATGATATGTGTTACTTAACTCAATATATCCAAAATACTATTATTTCAACATGGAATCAATATAAAAAGATTAGTGAAACATTTTCTTTATGTTTGCCCTGTCTCTGAAATCTGGTATATACTTAGGATATATCATAGTTCGCACTAGCCACATTTCAAATGCTCAGTAGCCACGCGTGGTTCCCATATTGGAAAATATAGGGCTAGTCAATACATACATTTATCAGCAAAATAAAATAAGCCCTTCCAGAACATCTTGCTCAAACACAGAAGCATTCAGCAGAAATTTAACAGTGGCAGCTATTTCCACAGCACTCTTGTGCATGTGAACTATGATAAATTATCTCGACGATGACAACAATACATTGTTCTGGAGCAATCCTGCTCAAAATAGTCTAGAGCAATGGTCTTCAAACTAGGTTACTGGTACATGAAATCTTTTCAAGGAGTATGTGAGCAGGGATAGTTTGCATGGGATCCACTCTCAGATTCTTAACTCTCATGGGTCTTCTATACTATAACTGATCTGGCTAAAAACAAATTTTTTTCCACATTCTTAAAATTAAGCATTATTTTGCAACTATTCTCAATACTGATCGCTTAAATGCATCATTAACTGGAAAGAAATGCACCTCCTAACTAATGGCAGTATATACTGTTGATGCTGATTCTTTTAACTGTAACTAGAATGTTTTCCTATACCACAAAACGTTTACACTGGTAAAACTGATACATAGAAATTGTATGTGATTTCTTTCAGATAAGATACGTCATTCAATTAAAATACTTAAAACCTGTTTTCTCAGATTGTATCTTGAAGTATCTTTTCCAATTAAAGTCAATCCTCATTTCACTTTATAAATAATTATATATTTTCTACCTCCCATTATCAAAAACAGAATATGATAGTTTCCAGACCAATTATTCTTTAGCTATATATACTTACCTCTTTCATAAAAGACGGTTGAAAAGTTTGATTCTGTGGTCTAATAAAATTAATGGATTTTAAAATTTTTGTACATGATTCTTAGTTAATTATTTTCAAAAACCCAATACCAGAGTTCTAAGAACACATGCATACATGTTTACCAAAGGAAATAATGCCTGCCATCAGATTCCTTGTTTTATATATGAATTATAATGTTAGCTACATATTACATTGTTTAATTTAAAATCACATGAGAAACAAAATTATCATTTAATCTCTTAATTTATTTTGAAGTAGATAAAAATCTCATTATAATTTTAATCTATTTACTTTGTTAGTAAACTATTTAACAAAAGGTGTCCCATAATTGATTTCTCTGTGGTTTTAATAATGCTCCTCAAAATGCATATCAATTCATTTTTCCAGTGAAAAATGAAGTAGAACACTTTTTGTGAAGGTACAGTTGATTTGGCCGATTATTTTGATATGGACATTGCCTTTGCCAATTAAGTTATATTATAAATATTTTCTATGAAATCAATGATCCAAATCTGCAGCCTCAAAGTTTTATATTTAAAGGATATAATAAATCAAAGGCACTTTATCAAAATGTTTGTATTGGCTAAGGCATAGTGATCTAAGTATTTTGATTTTTCCAACCTTTTGTAAGTACACTGGATTAAAAATAATGCATCAAAATGCAAGTATGATAGATATAATAGTCATTTGCTAAAACTTGATAAAGTCATTTTGGTAAACTTACCAGAAACTCAGAAATAAATGATTCAGTAAGAAATCCTTTCATAAATTGGGGCTTCTTTGCTTTCATGGAACTAAAGATAAGCCTAATCAAGTTGTCCATTACAAATTTTAAATTTTAATTAAAAAATTTAAATCATGAAAACTTATTTTCAGTGACAAGTTACTGTGATTTTTGACTTACAATTTGGACATTCATTCCACTCCCTTCTACTTATTTATGGGAACAAAATTTTCTGAGTTCTTATGGCTCTAAAAGTGAAAAATAGGAATAAAATTTATACTGTACTGTCTCATTAGAAGTAACAGTCATCCTCGGAGTCATGAACTGACTTGGAGGAAAATGAACAATCATATGCACTTAAGGGATGCATTTCCAACCAAATTTGAGTTTTCATTTTTAGTAATTACTTATCAAAATATGTGATATTTTATACGGTTCTGATAAACTGTATACTACTAATAATTTAATGGTAAAAAGTTTAATATTTAATAGGCTTAGCATTATAGGAACACTTATTTCAATCCATATATACTTTTCACAGAGATATATAGTAGGATGACCAATGAAAGGTTTTTAAACATAAGAATATATTACATTAGGATACATTACTGAGTGGACTTAAATAGAACAGTGATTTGAAGGAGATAAGATCATGAAAATTTCTGACTGTTCATTTTTTTTTTCTTTGCTTTTAAATCAACAATTATGAGTATCAAGATCCTATGGTATTTTTAGTTCACTGAATGAATGTGCAAATGTGACTAAATCATTTTATTTAAAAGTATAAGTGTAATATGCTGGAAATAATAACTACAAACAAACTTATGGTAAGAAATTTCAGATGCCAACTTCAAGATGGGTAATGGAGTTGATAGTTTTCAAAATGATTTTAGCAGGCCTATAATTAGAAAGTTTGAAAACCACTGCTATAGAACACAGTCTCAGTGAAGCCCAGAGGAAAACTAAGTGGGGGAAAGGAAATTTAGAAAGAAAGATTTCTTTTATTTTATTACTATTTTAAATTTCTGAATATACCAGAAACCACTATAAGTTGAAGTATACTAGCTTATTTGCCAGGGCAGTTAGGCAACCCTGCAATGGGTGAAATTTTAGGGATATTTCTGAGCAATCCATAAACACTGTACTTACTCACTATGGTCACTAGGTGACAAATACACACTGGGAATGAAGCCCTCTTCCCCTCTTCCCCACTTCCAAGAGCTCTCTCAATCGTCCAATCTCCTCCTGCAAACGGGAAAAGGACATGAATAACAACGACAATCACAACAAACAATAGCAAGAAATATTTATTTCCATTTGCCAGGGACAGTAATAAGCCCTTAACATCTCTGAAAATTTCAGAAATGGCCTTGCTTATGAAGGTAATCTACCCTTCATCAATACCATTTACAAATAATGTTAAGACATTCTATGATATAACCATGCAGTTTGACCACAAAACCCAAACCTTATGCAGCTAAGAAATTCACCTCTGGTAAAACCAAAAAGCATCAGCAGCATCTATGACATTCCAAGCACAAGGCTATGACTTTCATTTCACTGAATCTTCAAACAACTCTAAAAGATAGGTGCTAATATTACCCCCAAATTACAGGTGAGAAAGCAGGAAAATGGCCCCAAATCATTGGGTTAGTAAGAAAATGCAGGCTTGGCTTTTTTTCCCCCCAATTTAATAGCCATGCCCTTAAGTATTATACTGTGTGATGTTTCAGTGGTGTGTGTGTGTGTGTGTGTGTACATGTGCACGTGTGCGTGTGCATGCATGCATCTACGTATCTTCCTGTATCTGGCTGTGCACATTTGTATTTCTGTGCTCCTGTGTGATTCTATGCCTGTGGTTCTGTGCATGTGGAAGTGTGTGTGCTTTCATGTGTGTGTACACACACAAACACCTGTGCACCCAGATCTTTCAGATTTCTTTCTGGAAATCTCTCTACATCTGCTTTTATACTGTATAGCCATATAGGGAACTCAATAATTTCCATTTTCTCTTGAAGAGGCTAAGAAAAAGGTACATTAAAAGTCACAGCCTCCTTTGGAAAAGTGTTTATTTGTGTGTGCTTTTTTAAGTACCTGAGTCTCTGTGTTTTCATATGTATAAATCTCTGCTTACGTCTCCATGTCTGTGCATATGTCTGTGTTTCTGTTTGCAGCATGACTAAGTCCATGTATGCATCTATATGCTTATGTTGGCAGATCATTCATATATTTGATGTACATTTAGGATTGAGTGCCACATGGGCATAAGAGTACATCTGTAGATCATTTGTGTGTATGTACACATGTGCCAGTGTGTATATATGTTGACATGTGAAGGTACACGTCTGTGCTTTTGTGTGCCTGTGGATATGTCTGTATTTTTTTTTTTTACCATGTTTAGGTCTGTGTTGTCTGTAGATATATGTGTATGTCTCTTCCTTTTATATCCTGAGGATGTTGTGTATTTCTGGCGGGTACAGCTGGCATCTGAGTGGACATCTGCATGTGCACTCATACATCTGTATAGGCAAGTGCTTTTACGAAGTTCTGTGTGCATGTGCCTGTAAGAGAGGTTTGGAGTGTGTCACCATCTGAGTAGGTGAAATCTTGCCTTTTTTGGAGGCAGGACTCATGTCTCTCTCTAATACATAAGTCTGTGGAACTACACCTGTATTCCCATGTGCAGATCTCTGCATCTCTCTCTATGTGGAAATGTTTAGTCCTCATGTTTGCTGCTTGCAATGGTTCATCTGTGTGAGTAGCTGCATGTCTGTATGTCTGTGTGGACATAATGTCTGTGTGTATGTCTGAGTGTCAGTCGCTGTGTCTGTAGCTATACGTTCTTGCTGTAGGCCTCTTTATCTGTGTCTACGGGCTTCTATATTCACACGTGCAGGCCTCAGTGTTCATCCATCAGTTCCTCCACCTCCGTTTGTCTGTGTATATCTGTGTGACCATCTGCATGTCCACAGGGGCACGTGTGAGTGCATCTGCAAAAACCCGTCTCCATGAGAATGAATTTCTTTGGATGACTCTCTGGGTGAATGCATATGTGTCTGTGTGCAGATGTTTATGTTGCTGCATAATACAAGGACTCCATCTGCATGAGGATTTTGCACGTCTGTGTGTACATGTCTGTGTGCACGCTATTGTGGCTCACGTACTCATCTGTTTACATGCATACACATGGCGACACATTCAAGTGTCTGGAAGGTGTGCTGGATTCTGCCAGGGTGTGCATGCATTTCTATGACTATTTGTGCAGATCACCAGACATGCATGCTTCTGTGTACATCTGTGTGCCTGTGTTCGGGTGCGTGTCTGTGGGCCTCCATGTCTACCTGTACATCCATGTAGAATTCCTGCATGCATGCAGCTCTGTATGTATGCTTCCGCATGCGTCTGCCCAAGCTTCTGTAGCCATCTCTTTGTGGTTCTGTATGTGTGTGTGGCCCTGCACGCGCCTCTCGTGCATGTGGGCGAGCCTTTGTGAGTGCAGATGTGTTTGCCCACATATATTTTTGTGTGGGTCTTTAGGCCTGTGTCTCTGTGGGTAGGTATATGCTTCTGCATAGAAAAGCATGTCTGCTAAACTGTTTCTTCCCTGCCTCTCTCTCTGGATCTATACAGAACACATCTCTCTTCTCTATAAAAGCATCTCTCTCAATGCATATACCTCTATCTCTGTGTGTGGATGCATGTAGAAATCTCTTTATGGATCCATCTCTGTTTTGTATCTGTGTGCATGTATATTTCTCCATGTACAAGTGCATTTATATGTGCATACCTGTGTGCTTGTGTATTTCCATATGCACACCCACATGCATGACTCTTCCTTTGTGTACCCTCATCTGCGTTGTCATGCATGTGTACGCACTTAAATGTTCATGGTAAGCAGGGGCACTTATGTGGCATGTGCAGGCATGAACGTGCTTATGCCTGTGTGTTCTGATAACAACTATGCTTCTGTGTGCACATGCATATGACTCTTTGGGCAGGAAAACGCCAGTAAACACATGTTTAAAACACATGTATCTACCTATGAATGAATCTCTATGTTGCAGTGTTTGGGCGAATGCCTCTGTGTCTGCATATCAGTAAAAACACATACACCTGTGTCTGTGTATGGATGACTCTATGCATCTATGGGTATGTGTGCACACGTGCAAACACATATGTGTTTGTGTGGGTTCAAGAATGCCTGTCTACATGTCTACATAAATGTCTGGGGATGCCTGAGAATGTGTCTAGGCCTCATGAGCCTCTAGAGGCATCTATGAGTTTTTGTATGTGCATATGTGTGTGCATCTGTGTGTTTGCACCTTTGAGGTTCTGAATCAGTAAATATATCCTCTGGATGCTAGCCAGGTCAACATATATGTCTGCATGCTTCTCTAGGTCTGTGTGAATGTGGATTATGTATTTATGACTATGTGTCACTCTGTGCCTACATACAGAACTGTGGGCACTTGCGTGGATCCATGTGTATGCATATGAGTATCTGTGTATACATGAAATGACCCCTGTCGGGACTCTGAGTTTTATGTTCATACTTGTGCCAACCTATGTCTCTGGCTGTGGCTGTAAGAATATACGGTCTGTGGGATTATGATACATTTGGAGGTCTGGGTCAGTGTGAACATCCCTGGCACTCTGTGTGTGTGTGTGTGGGGGTGTGTTCTAGTGTATACTTATCTAGGATGAATATATGTGTGTAGATGGGAGCACTTTGTTCCAGAAAGACTTTTCTGGTCATTTCCACCCCTGCTTTTCTATGATACAGCCGAAGGGGCTCAAGATTTTCTTCCTACTCTTGAGGTAGCCAAGAAAATAAACATTAAAATATGGGCTTCTTTGGAAAATGTTGCTGATTGAAGATGGTAATTATGGTATAATAACACAGAGGATTTTTATCATCTGAAGACAAAAAGCAGGTGGCTGCTCAGTTCTTCAAATCCTGCTGCCACTGCAGACATTTCTGTCAAAGACTCTGGCCTGCACCTACCTTCCCTCTCACCTCTGGCCCCAGCCGGAGCCCCCACACTGCCTCCTGGCTGCCCCAAGCCCACGTCATATCGCCTGAATCCCACCTTCCGCTTCCCCAGGCTTGCCTATGACAAAGGGCCCCAAAGGTAAGACTCCGACTTTCTTCCTCATTCTACTTTGCTTTGGCTAGAAATTCAGATTAAGATACCTGGTGTTATTTAATCCTTACAACAGCCTGGGAGGCAGGAACCAGGGTCATCCCCAGTTTACAAAGGAGGGCTGAAGATGGGGGAGTTCAAGTGCATTCTGTAGGTCATATGGCCAACAAATGGCAGGGGCAGAATTCAAAACCAGGCCTGATGGACACCAAATCCATATCCCTTCTGCTCTACCACTGACCATTTCTACTATCGAATGTGCCCGGGTCCCAGCAACCAGTAAATAGGCGTGTTTGCCTCCAAAAACTATATTCTAAACCTTGGTTCTTTCTTGAAATGACCTCATTTAATTCCTGGAATGACCTCAAAGGAAGTGCCCTGTCCATGTTTACATGTGAGTATGCAGACTCAAAGAAGTGAAGTCACTTGCCAGAGTTCTGTGGGAGCACGTGGGCCCTCTGTCCGAACCCTGTGGAGCAACATGTTGAGGCTAAATGTGATAGAGTATGTGCCTCGTGAAGTGCAGCTCAATGTTCTAGTGTCAGCATACATATTGCTCTGTCCTTCTTGGTGTGTGAGGCCTCCTGAGTACTGTGTAGTGAGTTTGGGTATTATTAGAGGTGTCTGTGAAGTCTGGGGCAAGTCTGGGCGTCGTGGGGTGAACAGGTGTGTTGTGGATTACGAGTCTCTGCATATGGCTCTTCTCCGGGTTGTGGTCTGAGTCTCTGAGGACTGTGGGGCAGGTCTGAGGGTTCCGGGGCTAGTTTCTGGGTTAGGTGGCAAGTCTCTGGGTAGTGCTGTGAGGCTAGACATTATGTGGTGAAATGCATCGTGGGTTAGGGGTCTTGTTGTATAGCTAGTCTCTGTGCTATGACATGAGGCTAGGTGTGGGGGGAGTCTGGCGAGGTAAGGTGAGTCTGAGTGTGGTGGAGAAAAATCTTTCTGTTATGGGGAAATCTCTTTGTACCTGTGTGTGGATGCTACATGTTTGGGGGTGATAAGTCTTATGTTGTAGGGTGAGTCTCTCTGAAGGAATGTGGGTCTAGGTGTTGTGGGGCAAGTGTATGGGTTTTGGGAAGTATTAGTAAATTGTAGGTCCTA